ATCGGGCAGTGTTTCTTTCTGCTGTGCATGGGGTTGCTATGAGTTGGAAATGACTCGACAGCATTTAACAACAACAACAACATGGGTAGAAAAGCCACACTAAATAATTTACCACACCGCAGGATGTATCTGCGTAAGCAGAGTACAGTGCTTCTCTGTTCGCTAGTTGACAGCACTTATGCTCTCTCCACCTGTCTCCTTTCCAGCCATCAGCCTTCCATATGTCTACACTGTTCTTGGCAAGCAGAGTCTATTCTTAGGTCCCTGGAATGTAAATGAGAACACTATCTCTTTCAATATCCAAAATGGCTGCCAGTTGTCAACATTCAAAATGTCTGCACTCTCCAGATAACTGAAAGTCCACAGATCAGTTTGTCTCCTTCTTTGCTGTTTCCCTTTTTAATCATGAGCCACCAGTATAGTTGTCCATGCAACCCTTGTCGAGCAGTGCTAGCCAATTTTTAGGTTAATTCTCATGTCTTAAGATTACTCTGAAATATTCAAACTGTCTATACTATCAGGATAGCTGACATTACACAGCTCCTTTTGTTTCCTTATTCACTGTTTTCATTCAGGTTCTTCTACTAGTTGATGATTGATCCAGTTCCATATCCTTTCTTTCAAAGCTCCAGACTCCAGAATTATCTTTTGTATCTGTGACAATTGGTTTCTCTTTTCTTTATTGAAAAGAGTCTGTGTAGCTTGTCTGCCTATTCTTCCATCTTACTGGAAGTCCCAAGCATAGCTATTTTAAAGTTCTTGCTACTGATGTCACTATGTAGGTTACCTATGAATCTATATATTTTTTTTCCTGTCATAATTTTAAGCCAGTTCCTTTTGTCACTTTGTAAACCTGGGAAATGTGGAAATGCTGGACATCATGTATGACAAAAACGTCATAATACGATTGTATAATTGTCTATTTATTTTGGCAATTTTTGTTTTATGTATTTTGAGGTTCTGTTATTATGAATGTACACTTTCATAATTGTTACATATTATTGACAAATTATTTCTTTGAGCATCATAAAAATTTTCTCTTGATCTCTGACAAGGCTCTTTTACTTGAGGTCTAATTCCTGCTTTCTTTTGCTAACTTCTTACAGGATTGACCTATTTCTGTCCATTTATTTTTCAGGTTTTAAAATTATGTCTCCTGTAGCTAAGCTATAGCATGGTTTTACTTTTCCTCCCATTCTGTCTCTGCCTTTTTGTTGAAGTTTTCAGACCACTAATATTGATACACTGGAAACATCCTTCTTCCACATAACCAAATGGCTTAATCTCTGCTCAAATATTGTATTATTGAGGATTCCATGACCACACTAAGTAGAGACATGTAAAAACACTCCCTCTCCTTTCCTTTTTTTCTCCATATAGTCTGTCACCATATGCTACATTGTGACATTTTTTATTGCCTGACTTTCCCAAGTAGCAAGTTTTCTACACTGAGCCAGGGATTTCTGTTGTACCAGACACTGAGATTTTCTAACAACTAGAATATGTGCACTGAAAATATAATCTGGAATGAATGAACTGTAATTTATTTATTACACTATTAAATTTCTTGCAATTTCTTTCCAGTCAGTCTACCTCTTAAAATATACTTTTTATTTTTACTATTCTATTACAACTGAGCGAGTTCTGGTGGCATAGTGTCTAAGGCATTTGCCTGCTAACCAGAATGCTGGTGGTGCAAACCCACCAGCCACTTCCTGGAAGGAAGGTTGGGCAATCTACTTCCATAGTGATACCTCCTCGGAAACCCAAGGAGGGGTTACTATGAGTGAGACACAACTTGATGGCAGTGAGTTTGTGTTCTGTGGGTTTGTGTTACCTAGTGCTGATCTGACAAGAAATATACCACAAATGGGATGGCTTAAACAAACAGGAGTTTTTTCTTACAATTTGGAGGCTTTAAGTCCAAGTTCAAAGTGCCAAGCTCTAAGAGCTGTGTGAAAGCCCCTTGACCTTGGGCTTCAGCTCTGCCTCTTGCTCCCGGCCAACTGAAGCTAGAGGCTTTTCTTCACTCAGGCATCTGTTGGCTTCTGAGGCTACCAAGCCCAAGATGGGCAAATAAAAAGGCACAGTCCCAATGTTACCAAACCACATGACAGGCCATTTAATTCAAGTTCATTGTAAGTCCCAAGGTAGGCAGAGCATGGCAGGCTCCTGAACAATGACACGGCTACATGTTCAAGGTGCCATAAGCTAGAGACCATTCCCCAAGGCTTTTGCTTATATACAGGAAGAAGACCATATTCCTTAAGGCAGCTAGCTACTCGGCTGTATACAGTAGATTACACTAGGGAGTTGATTGCCAGTCTCATCATGGAGAATACTACCACCAGCTGCCCAGCCACTCAACCAGGCCCAGCCAAGTTAACACATAAACAAAGCTACCACAGTTTGGACTTTTGGTTTTATTACAACTGATGCTTCAGAAATGACCAGAGGACCTCCTATTTATTATTAAACTAGGAATCTCTTCTAAGTCCTCAGTGGCTTGGAGATTTTTTGTTTGTTTATTTATTTGTCTGGTGTTTAATATGGCTATCTAAAACCTGTTTTATAAAAATATTCTTCTAGGGCTCTCATTACATTACTACTTTTCTTTTATAGTTCTCACTGAATTCCTTTGCTTGGCTTCTCTATATTTTTTTAAGTTATTTTTATTTCCGACTCTCATTGCACAGCTCCCTCTGCTTTTTTTCTATATATTCTCTTCTTTTGAGAATTTAGTCATTGTCTTGATGTCATTTCTTCCACAAATTACATCCATTTTCAACCTTCACTTCTCACACTTTTAATTATGTAGTATAATATTTCTGTTATTCAACATATCCATTTACCACTTAGCAACTTGCTCACCCAAACTGACATAATTTCTGAACCATCATTTTCTGAATAACTCAGATTCAAAACATCATGTTTGATCCTGCTTGTTCCTTCAGTAATAATCTAGTTCCATATTTTTGTTAATTTTGTGATTATTGCTATTATTTTATAATTTAGCATCTTTTCTATAAATTAATAAATTGCTAACTGTTCTCTATACCTCCAAATTCAGTTTAGTTCTTCTACAAAATATGACCAGATTCATCTTCCTAGAATTATAAACCCTACAATAAAAATTCCAACTTTTTATTGGTTTCAAATGAAAGTTTATGGTTCCTATAAAGGTATCATGAGTGGACGTTGTGGTACTACTGTGCCTAATAGATAATTCAGCCCTGTCACCATGAGTTATAAAATAAGGTCTTTATCATTTAGCCTACGTCAAAAACTTTTCACAGTTGAGTATTTTATTTGTTGCTTTTTCCTTAATTAGTGGCTAAGACACTTGCCTGCTAGCCAGACGGCTGGCGGTTCAAACCCACCAGCCACTCCTCAGAAGGAAGGTTGGGAAATCCTACTTCTATAGTGATACTGCCTCGGAAACCCAAGGAGGGGTTGCTATGAGTCGGGCTTGACTCGACGGCACATAACAACAACAACAACAAGCAAATATTTGTAGAATTGAATATAAATATTTTTGGAGAAATTTCTTAAAATAACAAGGCTTTTCTTAAGTAACTCTTACTACACCCAAACATACACAATCATTCTTTGACAGATAAAGTACCTTGAATTTATCAGTATTTATTTCTACATAAAAAATGGGAGTTTTAATATAAAGGCGTTTATTAATTAATAAAAAATGGTCAAGTTTTCTAAAGTTATTGATTTAACTTTTATTTTGTGATAATAAAGGTGTTTGCTTCATGACTATATTTCTGAAAGATTGTTTCCTATCTTCAATATTCATAGCTATACTACAATTGTTCTTGCATTACCAAAGGATTATCAACTGAAGATGATGAAGGTTACTTTCCTGATGCTGAACATGGGAAATGTGATGCAAAGTGCTATAAATTACCTTTGTTTATTTCTTTTATCTTTTCTACAATTTTATTTGCTGGTTTGTCCGGTGTACCACATGTTGTGACCATTATCCGGTATGTACGTATTTTTCTTAACATTATTAATTTAGTATATAAGAAAGTTAATTCTAGGAATACTTTAGACTATTTTGTGATTTGCCTTGCCTTTCATGATAGCAAATGCTCTATGGAAAAAATTGTTACCTTTTCAAAATTTGTATAATATTTGAAATTCTTTCTCGTTTTATTTGAATAAAATGTGTAGATACCACATTTAATGTAAATTTAATTTAAAACTAAATCATTTATTTAACTTAACCTACATTGAAAGTTCATAAATACAGGAGATTCTTAATCATAATATAGATAGGATTTTAAAGTTGATTCATTGGCTATAAGTATTTTTTGATTGTTCACGTCTATGTTAGCCAATTGATCATGAGCAACATCCTGTCAACAACAAAGGAATATAATAATTTTTATAATTTCAGTTGTTGTTGTTGTTGTTATGTGCCATCGAGTCAAACCCAACTCATAGTGACCCCTCCTTGGGTTTCCGAGGCAGTATCACTACGGAAGTAGGATTGCCCAACCTTCCTTCAGAGGAGTGGCTGGTGGGTTTGAACTGCCAGCTGTCTGGTTAGCAGGCAAGTGCCTTAGCCACTATGCTACCAGAGCTCCCAGTAGCTAACTTTAAAATTGTTGTAAATCAAACCAAACTTTGCTATTCATTTGTTCTTCCTACATATGTGAAATCCACTTTACATTCATTTTTTCATAGTAAGAGAATAGTTAGTCATTGATTTAATTTTTTTCAAGGACTAAGAAAAAACTTAAATCATAACATGTGATTTTTATCCAGTAGGAAAATAGATTAGAAAATATGATCAAATATACACCAAAAATTTTTTTAAAATGTATGGGCACATGTGGTCTTTGCCTTATTCTGACTTCCAATTTAGATGGCAAGATATAATGTCAAGTGACCTTTTAAATTTATTCATCTATGTCTGTCACTGTAGCTATATAGACTTTGCCCTCAAGTTGTTAGAGTTTAATCAAGAGAGATAAACAAATAGAATTCATAGGAATGCCTTGATTAAAATCTGTACAGGTTGATTGGAACACAAAATGGCTTGGTAATTTCTATATGTGGTGATTTGGAAATAATTATAGAGATATGAAATTTCAAATGGATTCTGAATATAAGTGATTTCTTATTATGCAGGCAGACTGACTACCTGGACTTAATAGGAAGGGAAAGCAGTGAAAGGAGAGGTAAAAATGTATGAGCAAGGAGTGTGTTATAACAAGAATAGTATGAATGGGACAAGGAAATTTTAGCTAGGCCTGGTCCAATCATGTGATGCCTTTTTTGCCATGTTAATCTCAAGAATGTCCTTCTGTGTACATCTAGGAGCCAAGAAAGGCTGTAAGCCTCAAGAGTAAAAATAATTGGATATGAATTTTAGATAGAATTCTCTGAAAATACTGTGGAAAATAGAGCTGAGGGGACAAATGAGAGAAAAAAGAAAGTACTTAGGGTATCACTTTAAAATTTAGTAGTGGTATTTAGAGACAGAGATTATAGAACATATTTGAAAAAAAAATTAGTTTGAGAAAAAAAAAGGGCAAATGTTATTGTTTAGATGTGTGGTACAGAATATTGAGACATTTACCATCATGTCCATATTTCTTGTAGGGAGCTGGATAAATCCATTAACTGAGACAAGAAATTAAAAAGAACAGGTTGAGATTGAAGATGTTCAGTAAAGTGTTGACCATGACATACTTAAGTTCATGTGAGATATCCAAGCAAATATTTCCAAAATAAGATGAGAGAGAGATGATAGTAGTATTTGATATTTCATTTTGAATCTTCTCATTTATCCTGGTAACCAAACAGAGCAACAACAACAATACAGTAACATCAACAACAAATACTACATCACACAAACACACATATACAATACACTTTCAATAAAATTGTGAAAACAAAACAAAACAAAAAATTGGTAAATTGAAATTGCATATAAACATTGCCAAAGATGAAGCAGAACTGGATGCCAACTTGAAAAGTTACAATGATGCTACAAGGAACAGGAAATGCTAAGAGGGCCTCAGTGTTGACAGATTTCATATATCTCTAGCATATATTCTTGTTCAAAAGGATAGGACCCTACCTTGAGATAGAAGTTGTAGAAGAGTAACTAAATAGAATCTCTATGAGGATATTGAAAGAGAAGACTTGAAAAGTGTACAGGAAGTTCAAACTTGGCAGATCTCAAAAAGTACCAGCAAAATACACTTTCCACTAAGTGTATTTTTGCGAATGAATGAACTTAAAAAGAAAGGAATGTGAAGCAATTGTAGAAGCCCAAGACTGACAATAGAAGTTTTCTTGAAGTGTAGGGTATATTTGGAAAGGCAGAGGAGATATTGACATACAGACCATCTTTAAGTCTTCCTCTATATAGGAGCTCTGGTAGCATAGTGGCTAAAAGCACTTGACTGCTAACCAGAAGGCTGGCGGTTCAAACCCACCAGCCACTCCTCGGAAGGAAGGTTGGGCAATCCTACTTCCGTAGTGATACTGCCTCGGAAACCCAAGGAGGGGTCGCTATGAGTCGGGGCCGACTCGACGGCACATAACAACAACAACAACAACTATATTAACAAAGGAAATAATCCTTCTGTCATGAAGCTTGGAAACTACAACCTATGTTCCACCCCCATTAATCTACTGCCTCTAGTTCATGAAAATCCATTTCATTCAAATATGAGTAAGTAGAAAAGGAAAGTGGTCTGCCTATAAACAAAAAATGGTTATAATGGAATAAATGAAAATTACCAATTATTACTTTACTCTAGTCAATGAAAACTCACCAGAAAAAATGTTTCCACAAAGCAGACAAAAATATAAATGTAACAATAAGTAAAATATATTTTTTAATTAAACAACCATAGCTAGAAAACAGGAGAAATAGCTAAAACAGAAGGAATGTATTGAATGAGAACTGACAAAATTAAAAAGAAACAGAAGGAAACAACATTTCAGAAATGGAATCTTCGTTATAAGGTACATAAGGAATAAAACAAAAAATATATATCACAGTAAGAGGAAGAAAAATAAAAGGAAGAAATTAAGGATAAAAAATAAAAATAAGGAAATAAATTATTAGAAAAAGTAACAAATATGGAAGACAGTTAAAGGAGATCTATCATACACATAATTGGAATTACCAAAGAAGAAACAGAAAAATCAAATGGTAATTCTTTGCCGTTTATATTTCTAACAAATTTAAAAATAACCTTGTTAATATCTACAAAAAACATGCTGAGAATCTGATTGGAATGTCATTGAATCTATTTGGGAGAATTTCTATATTTCCTTCACATATAAGATATAATGATTTCATTCATTTACATGTTCATTTATTTCTCCTAATTATGTTTTGTAATTTTTGGAGTGGAGATCTTATACCTCAGTCATTGTATTTGTTCTTAGGAAATTGATGTTTTTAGTGTTTAATAGTAATAGTATAGAATAGAATAGTTGAGTGTATCATATATAATCGTTTATTGCTGGTATGAACAAATGCAATTCACTTTTGTATTTTGACCTTATTCTATGACCTTGCTAATTTGAATTTCTAATTCTAATAGTTAGTTTGATATATAAACCTAAAAGAACAGAAGTAATGGAGTGGTTGAATAAATGATAGGACTTTTGCACAATGCAATACTATCCAAGTGTATAAAATAAATAGGAAGGATTTCTATGTTCATATAGGGAGGGATCTTGAGGATGTATCATTCCTTGAAAAAATAAAGGTACAGTACAGTAAATACAGTATACTACTTCCTATGAACAAAGGGGATAGTGTAGAGATACACATTTACTGTTACTTGAATTTGCATAAAGAACCACTGGAAATATAAACAAGGAAGTAATTGAGATTTTATCTTTCAGGATTTAGGTGAAAATGGAGATGGATTGGGACTGAGATATAAACAGGCAATCTTTCTAGTGTATGTCTTTATATTGTTTGGTTTTCCAAAACATGTAAATATGTTACAAATTTAACAAATAAAATTCAGTAGAAAAGACCCAATAAGGTGTAAATCGTGAAATCATTATCAAATAAGTGATCACAACAGCCGTGAAAGTGAGAAAGGATAGAATAGTTTGCAACAGGCCAGTTCTTCTACAGAGGCGAGGAAATAAAACCAAAAAAACAAACTCATTGCCATCAAGTGGATTCTGATTTATAGTGACCCCTTTGGGTTTCCAAAGTGGTAAATGTTTATAGAAGTAGATTTCCCAGTCTTCCTTGTGCAGAGTGTTGGTGGGTTTGAACTACTAACCGTATGGTTAGTGGGTCCAATGCCTTAGGCATTATGCCACCAGAGCACCTTAAAACTAGATTAAACAACAACAACAACAACAACAAAACTCACTGCCATCGAGCTGGATCCAACTCACAGTGACCCCTCCTTGGGTTTCCAAGGCAGTATCAGTACGGAAGTAGGTTGCCTAATCTTCCTTCCGAGGAGTGGCTGGTGGGTTTGAACTGCAAGCCTTCTGGTTAGCAGTCAAATGCCTTAGGCACTATGCCACCATATTTAAAGACAGAAAGTTGTAAAGGACTGTTGTTGTTATGTGCCATCAAGTCAGCTCTGACTCATAGCAATTCTATGTACAACAGAATGAAAAACTGCCTGGTCCTGTACCAGCCCTACAATCCTTGCAATACCTGAACCCATTGTTGCATCCGCTGTGTCAGTCCATCTCCTCGAGGGCCTTCCCTTTTTTGCTGACCCTCCACTTTACCAAGCATAATAGCCTTCTGCAGGGAATGGTCCCTTCTGACAAAATGACCAAAGTAGGTGAGACGAAGTCTGGCCATTTTGCTTCCAAGGAGCATTCCAGCTGCACTTTTTTCCAGGACAAATTTGTTTATTCTTCTAGCAGTCTATGGTACTTTCAGTATTCTTTGCCAACACCACAACTCCAAAGCATCAACTCTTCTTCAGTCTTCCTTATTCATTGTCCAGCTTTCACATGCATATAA